TAATTTAAAATTAAGTTAGATGATTAAAGGTGACTCTCATTTACTGCAATTATTCGATTTACACGATTTATATCCTTTCTCTCTCTCTCTCTTTTTATATCATACGACATTGCAATTATATTATTCAGCATACGATTTATTGAATATATTTTATTATTATTTCGACAGTATATATATATTGTATATATAAGAATTTATTTATTTTTATATTTATTTGTTTATCGTTTTAATTTCTTTTCTTTTAGTCGTAATATTTCGTTATGTGTCAAAGATCGATATAAATTTATGTATTTACATTCATATCTATATATTGAAAATGGCTCGGTCTAGAAACTGAATTTCTTGGTATCCGTTTTCTCAACGGTTGACCTAAATCAAGAAACATTTGTAAATAACTGCTACGTTTCAATATTTGTGATTACATATAGACTGTATTTGTCCTGTTATTCTTCTCATCATACCGATACATTAAGAAATTAACAGAGATAGATATAAAGTCTATTTTTTATTTCTTCCATTATTTTTTTATTTTTTTTTAATCGAAATATAATTAAACAAGACTGCGATATAGTCAGTGATGATTAATATATAATAAATTAACATCAGTTAAAATCGGTTAGCGATTTAATGAGAGTTCTAGGAAACTTGATTGGTAAGTTTAAATCGAAAAGCTCGTTGGTTTACTATACTGCATTCTGACTATGCAGAAATGAAATTTAATATCCTAATGGTGAAAATCTAAAAGAGAAAGGGAAAAAAGAGATAGAACTTTGGTTTAGCAGTTTAAACATTCGCATGAAAGGTTTCAAAGCATGCAGATATGATGACATGCACGAATATTAAATCACCGTATACGATGGCTTTCATTTTCGGAGCTAATTTGATCAGGGTTTTTGGTTAATCACATATTCCTTCCAAATTATATTATAGGGAAATAGATCAGTTTTCGTGAATACGATGATGGGGTCTACGCATAATGCGTTTTGGATAATTTCGTAAACCGCGTATAACAAGCTGCGAGGTGTTATGATATCTTAATGACTTATTATCGATCGATCGACAACGAGAGAGAGAGAGAGAGAGAGAGAGAGAGAGAGAGAGAGAGAGAAAATTTAATAACGAAATACAGTCAATTGAATGCGCAGTCATTTATATAAACTTTATGATATTAATTTGAAGGTTTTTTTAAATGAATATCACATATAATTATTACGCGGTTCATATTTCGAGGATAAAAAGAAAGAAAGATATAGGAATTGAAAATAATAATTTATATATATATATAAATAGATAGATATATGGATTGATAGATAGTATTAATTAAATAACGAAGCATAGTAATTTGTAATGCCAATAATTTACGTAAACTCAAACGTACGAATCTTATTTTTACTTTCTTTTTCTTTTACATCTATACATCTCACATATAGTTTTTAGAATTTATTTTAACGATGAAAAGAAGATAAAAAGCAATTAAAAATAATGAATTATTCTTATGTAGATAGGTGTATAGATAGATGAAAAGAATAAAAAATTCAATAACGAAATAGTCATTTATATAAACACAAAGTTATGAATGATATTTTCTTTTTTAATTGTTTTATGCATTCAATATATTTTATTGGATTAACTTGGTCGAAGAAAGGAAGATAAAGAAAAAAGAAGAATTGAAAAATAATGAATTATTGTAATTCGTAGTTTTAACATTTGACGATTTATCGTTGAAACTTGGAGACGTCAGAATTGTGTACGTCGCATTGCACCCAATCCCATCGTATTTGATATAACGCTCGGATTCTTCCAACCGAATGCACTAGGGCGTTATTATTTTTTGGATTTTCGCCCATAAATCCTTTCATGGAGAAACGTAAGCTGCTCGAAAGTACAAGAAATATAGTACACTGCTTACATTTATACATGTGTACCATATGTGTAGTATGTAATACATACGTTTTACGATTGAGTCTGTACTTTACTTTTTTTGTTCTTTTTTCTTTTTTTGTTTTGTTTATTCCTTCTCGTTTGTTTCTCAAATTGAAAAATATTCGACTGTTCGTAAAAATCTTGATTGTTTTATTACTTTTTGGAAATTATTTTCTATTTTGGTTTTCCTAAATTAATTCCTCTCGTATATAATTTCTATAATATGTGATTTGTTTTTAAATAAAATTATGTGTTCATTTACGTAATAAATTTATCGTCTCGAATGTATGCATGCATTCGTAGTACGTAAACGTACTATATTATGTATTAGCCCACGTGTGTTATCGTCTATCGATAAAATATTAGTTGCCCTATAGCTATGATAGAAGTTACGATATTAGCTTTCAACATCTTGAGATGCATCCTACTTTGAGTGTTCGAATTATATCGTGGTATACTTATATTATCAAGTTACCAAAGTTTCATTGTAAAATTAGTTTCTTCTTATATGGTTTTTCGGAAATCTTGCATATCGTTTGTTAAACGATTTCAAGATATTATTGAACAATATTTTGTTAAGGAATATTCAAAATGTGTGTTGCGGGTATTAAATCATTTCATATAAAGGCAAACAAATAATATTATAATTATGGTAAAATTAATTGTAATTTTTTATCGGAATTACTTTCGTTCTTTTTTTTTTTTT